AAAAGCCACCGGTTTGATTAAATCTATACAGGTTGTTAAATCATAACAGGAAAAAGGGCTTTAAACGTATTAGTTCCACTTTGTTGACTGAACAACTTATAGCCAGAGAAATCAATTCCATGGATTGAGTAAAAAGTTGGATATGGATCACAGCAGAGTGGAAAATCCGCTGACAAGCCTTTCAACTTTCAACACTGCCCTGGAACGGTTCCGGTTCACGAGCCGGATTTTGAATCAACCTGTGCCCTTTTACCAAAAATGAATAGGAAAAAAAAAGAATCCAGAGGAACTAAAAGCAGGTTTGAGGACACAGTGAAGGACTTTGAACCTTCGTAGATAACCTATTAGTTCCACTTTGTTAACTAAACAAGCTTTAGCCAGAAAAATCAATTCCACCTTGGATATGGATCAAGGATGAGCGGGAAATGAACTGAAGTGACGGGCCTCTCAAGTCCACACTGCTCTGGAACGGTTACGGTTCATGAACCAGATTTTGAATCAACCAACAACCAAACAAATGAGTCCTTTTGAGAAGGAACAAAAAAAGAATCATTTTTACTGCACAGGAAGTGGAGCCTGAGTAACGAGTATGATGTCGGGAACGGAAGCCGAGAACGAAGTTAGCTTGTAGCAAGGTTACCAAGACTGCGTGAAGGTAGAACCACGTTTGCCGTGTTTCTGGTTTTTAAATACGGGTTGGAGTAGATTTGGACGTTCCCTGAATTTCCAGGAGGAACTTATCTAAGAGCGCTCTGGTTCCAGCAACAAGTTCTGCTTCACTTTTTGTAAATTCATCCTGGTTTTCTGGCAGCACTCGGAATTCCAACTGGAATTAAAACTCAGCAGAATCTCACAGAAAGTTCTTCGCCCTGAGATCAAACCCTGCGCTGGACGCTGTGAAAGTATTTTGGGTAAAAAAAAAAAATTAAATTGGATTTTATTATGGCGTCTTTGTGAGGACTGTGCTCAGATGGATTATCGATGTTGGAAATGAAATGACTAACAGGCAGCAATATTGATCCAAATAAACCAAGCGTGGAGCAGAACACAGTGGAGAGAGTGAGAAGCCAGCTCTCTGATTTTCCATGAACTCACCACGATCTGCTGTGTCAAATATAATAATACAGATGGACAATTCTGGGAGGAAAAAAAGATCCATTTTGATAGAACAGAGATTGGTCCTTGAAGGAATGGCTGGAATGTCAGACAAAAGATGACACATTTCTCCAGGTGACACCGAGCCCGAGGCATCCAGTGAGTTAGGAGAGGAAAAAGTGAGCGTATGTTTGGAAAAAAAGAAAAAATAAATAAAGAGCAGAGGCGAACAAAAGAGAGGGAGAGGGAGGTAGGGAGGGGGGGGGAGACAAATGGACTGACAAGTGCATGCCTGTGAAGTTTTGTTAGAACTAACTCCTCCGTTTGCCACTGCACTTTGTCTGCCCGGAGCTGAAGGTGCCGGAGTTCACGTCAAGTTCAAGGAGAGTCACATTCTCCTTCATCGCTGCACGTGTCTGCTGAAAAGAAATGTCCTCGACTTCACCACGGGAACTCCTGCTCTTTGCTCTTTATCTTCCTGACATGTAGAGAGTAATAACAGTGCCACTATTTCTCCCCGAAACTCCGGCAAAAGGTTATTTATTCTGGTGAAAATCCTTGTTAACAATGACAAACGAGCGCTTCAGATTTCCACCTGAAAATACTGAGAATGTGGTTCTTATTACAGCAAAAGACTTGATGATTTTTAAGGCGCAGACATTGACGATTTCCCAAAAATCTTGTACTTTAAGGTCGGGCTAAGATTCATGGGAATCTAAAAAAAACGTCCAACAGATGACTTTGATTCCACGCAATCTACTTTGACCTGACGCTCAAAATTCTTACTGAAAAAAAGAAACGTTTCCACACCCCTGGATTATTATTGCCTTGCTGTTTGTGCAAAAATACGCCTGTTAAACTGACCGGCTAAATAAAAAAAACAAAACGATGTTATGATGTAGACTTGGCATTTCCTATGACCACAAGCCAGAATAAAGGCCAGAAATGTAATACTGCAGTGTTGGTGGTTTTGGGACATTTGTCAACTGTCATATGTGGAGACAGACTACAAGTTACTCCCACAGGGCCGGGCAGATTGGACAAGTTATTAGCGCCTCAGCAGCAACTTCAAGACTGAGAAAAAAAAAAAATGACTGAGCTCAGCAGAGAAATGTTTAAACCAAAGTCTTTGAACTCCTTAAAGCTGGAAAACTATTCCTGGAGACTTTATCTGTAAATCAGCATTTTTTTAAAAGGTGGATATAAAAAAAATTAACACACACACACACACACACACAAGGGGACGTTTGCTGTTTTCACATGCCCATCTCTATGCCGGTCCCTCAGGTTGAGCCCCCTCCTCCTCCTCCTCCTCCTCCTCCTCCTCCTCCTCTTCCTCCTCTCCTTCACTCACTGCTGAATGAACCTGACAGCAGAATTCACTGACATCATCATACTGTGTAAACATCAGACTACAGCACCTCCTGCAGCAGGAGGACCTCCACACTCCTCCTGGAGGAGG